CACGAAAGAGTCGCAAAATTGAGCGACTCGATTCCGGAGCGGAGCAGTACTGCTTGTCAGTAGGACCGATGGGAAGAAGTCGGCAGATGAAGATGATACGGCCCGTACCGCGCGTACAGCGGACGGTGGTCAACCTGGTTACCGGGCTCACAGGTTCACGATGATGTTGTGGTCGAATAAGCGGTTAGCAGAAGTCGTGGTAGTTGCAGACAGTACCGGCACTAGCAGGGCCTCTACAAAGTTCCGTAGCCTTTCCACTAGAGTGGTGCCAAGCCATGACCTCAGCCCCTCCAGACAAGCGCGGGAGCTGCAATCACGATTATCAGCTACCGCGACGACAACTCAACTTTTGACTTCACGCCACCACCACAGCCATGGTTGACTCCCCCGCTTCCATAAATAGCGCACTGCCCGGCGAGTCGCCCGCCCAGACTAAGGCCAGATTGCGGAGAGAGCGGCTTGCCGCCAAAAGCGGTGCCTCTCGTCTCCAACAGATCACTGCTCTGCAAGGCGGCCCACCAAAAGACCTTAAGGAAATTGAGAAAGATGTGCCAGGTAACTATTCTCCTCATTTCAGCAGATCAGTCTCCATATAGTCAATTCTAGCTCATTTCTATAACAGCGTGAAGGCACGGCTAATCGCTTTCTAGTCAAACCCGCCTCTACCCCATCTCAGTTCACACCCGCTGCCTCTGGTACGGCTACCCCAGACCCAGACGAAGTGGATATCTCAAAGCACCACTACGCGCCGGCCTCACAGCCTCGTCTCCCGTCACCCTTTGCTTTCGAGGGAAACCAGTCTGACCCATTCGGCCCCGGGCCCGGCTCCGATGCATCAGAGGATCCTATGATGGCTATGTTGCAGCAGATGATGGGCGCTGGAGCCGGCGGTATGCCTGGCATGCCTGGTGCTCCAGGTCAAGCCGGTGCACCACCCGGCGGTCTGCCACCTAATCTTGCCAATATGTTCTCCGCGATGCAGGGTGGTGGCGGTGCCTCGGAGCCGTCACCAGAGCAATCTTCGGCCTGGATCTGGCGGTTGGTACACTCTGTCTTCTCGTTTGGTCTTGCCGTCTACATCGTCCTGCAAACCCCCTTTACTGGATCCAAACTGACACGCGATAATGTACTCGACGATGACTGGACCTCGCAATCCACTCCGGCGCAGAACTTTGCGCACTTCTTCTATCTCTTTGCGACTTTCGAGGTTGTCTTACAGTCCTCGCGCTATTTCATCGAAAAGGGCCAATTACAGGGGAGCGGTATCCTCAGCACAGTTGCTGGAATCTTGCCGGCGCCGTATTCAGGCTATGTGCGGACTGTGGGCAGGTACAGCGTCATCTACAGTACAGTTGTGAGCGACGCTATGGTAGTAGTATTTGTCCTAGGCGCTACAAGCTGGTGGAGAGGTGCCGAAGTTGCATAAAGCTGTGCCATCTTTGGCGTTAATAGAATAATGGCTCCTTTTCGATGCATCACTCCACTCAGTCCTACCCAGGTACGCCGTGACTTTCCAACGAACCAGTCAATGCCTTGACACTACGCCACAGTCTGGGACGAATGAACATCGCACCCGTGTTAGTGTTCACGTGAGGAAAAACAAACCAGCAACATATCTCTCAAGTCGCTCCTATTGGGTGACATTGCAACTGTTCATGGATCACCATTACTACGGAAATAAGGTAGTGTATGCAAATCATACCGTGTGACACGTTCCGCGGAGAAAGCGTACATCAACCTCCTTCTAAACATTGTGCGCGCTCGCACTGTGTGGGCTTCATATACATCGTTGTTTTACACTGTTTGATTGCATTGATATCACGAGACTTGCAGATCTTCTTTTCCAGGCGCGCGGAATTTCATCAATCATGCGCACATGGCAGCCAGCATTCGTTGGGCAGTCAGGACCCGCTACACGGCTACCGGCAGTAATATCTTGATAACACGCGTCGCTCAACAGCAAGATGCGCTCCGCGTTCTCGCCTGTTCCCGCCTCCGGTGGATAGCACGTACAGTGAAGAACGCACCCGCATGCGCGTTACATGCACATCGCCACATTCGTCTTGCGTACAATCTACTGTTCTTTTCGGCGAAGAGTCCCGAGTCAATGTAGATCGCAGTCGTGCATGATGCAATCTCGTCTCGAATTCCCGTGCTTCCACGCTCATGGCCGATTGAGGCTTTACGACCATTGCTTCAATGATCTCAGCAGTATGCACACGAGTCACATATCGAGACGTGGCGTCGTCAGGCCCTTTCAACCGGTTCCACGGCGTTGGTCGACAAGGACACGCGCAGCCTTCCGCGGGAGGATTCTTTACAACAATTTGAGATGCCCAGTAACCTGATCTATGACGCCCTTAGGTGCAGGGCCGATACCTAGCACCGTTGCACTTCCGCTCGCGATTTGTGTCCGTCCCGCATCGTGTATAATGTGTGCCACTAACCCTAGACTCAGTGCTTGCGCCTGCAATAGTTCCAGCTCTTCCTCGCTCTTGACTTGCAACGCCACCTTCGCTTGACCCATACGTTCCCAGCGTCGTAGTAGCGTCGACTCGGGCGAGTGCTTGAGGAAGTGTTTGTAGCAGGCCAGTGTCGCGTGCCCGCATTGTGCGCCAATCTTGCCTATTTCATGGTTAGATATCTTGTAGATAGTGAGTATGTGTAAAGATTTGCAGTACCTTTAGTCATGCCGAGATCCGTTCGTACTACCAATACCATCTTGCACTCTTCGTTGTGACCTGGGAACTCTGCAGGCGTGCTGTCATCGTCTTCGTCGCTTGACTCATCTTCTGAATCTTCTGCTTCCTCTTTCTCAGATTTTGTTGGCTGAGAGACTGGGCTGCCCCCGAAGAGACCAAGTGACTTTGCTTGTCCCAGAAAGTAGCCTGTTACACCAGCGAGTATGGCGCATGCGGCTGCTATGTTTGCCGTAGACGGCTGTTGGGGAGTGTCTGCCATGCGTGCGGTTGACGATTGTCTCAGATATAGAAGACGATAATTTTACAACAGACGGATAGTGGGAATTAGTTTACTGCCAGGTAATAATTAAGTGAAAGTGAGAGTCATGTCGTTCCGTGGTTCACTTCCGCCCGCAATTGTAGAGCTAAACGTAAGGCTGAGGTCCGTGCTGAAGACTTCACGAATTTGCGGACTACCGAGCACATCGCCTATCCATCACGACGGCACCACCGCTGCCTTCGTCACCACACACCATGCCTCCCCGGTGCCAATTACTCTCTGGCCGTCTCCCAACTCAGGGATTGGCCCTTCGCCCGGCAAAATCCACACACCGAACCTACGCGACGTCCGAGGAGCCCACTCCCGCAGTGAAGAACCCGCTGCAGCGACGACGCGGTGGTGATCTCGGCTCCCATCTTCCCAAGAACGTCATCCCGAAAGATGCATACATCCCCGCATATCCCTATGGCGACCACCAGTTGTTCAAGCAAGCCAACAAGGGTCTCTACGGCGAGCAGATGATCCGCTTCGGCAACAATGTCTCCAAAGACACCGAAACCAAGACGCGAAGGAACTGGAAGCCCAATGTACTCTCCAAGAGTCTATACTCGGTTGCATTGAAGAAGAGGATAAAGCTGCGCATCACCGCCAAGGTTCTCAAGACCATGGATCGCGAGGGTGGGCTGGACGAGTACCTGCTCAAGGACAATGTGGCACGTATCAAAGAGCTTGGACCTATGGGATGGGCGCTACGATGGACACTCATGCAGAAGCCGGAAGTCATCGAGCGGTTACGAGCAGATGCTGCTGCTCTAGGCCTGGACCAAGCCGCAATTGACAAGCAATGGCCTACACTCCAAATGCAGGCCGAGCAAAGGGCAGCTGAGGGTACATTGGTCCGGAACGTAAACTCTGGCGCACCTGTGGATTTGGAGTTTGCTGAGACAGAAGGACAAGAGATGTGGGCTGGAGAGGAAGCCGAAGACCCAGCGGTGCTAGAGAAACGCGAGAAGTACATTGAGTCCCGTGCTGCCATCGAATACACAAAGGCAACCAAGGCAGCAGAACGCTACCTCAGCCGAGGTGTCGTCGACAGCGTGGAGGAAGGTCTCAAGTTAGCTTTCATACGAGCCAGGGAGCGCGAAGAGGCAGCCGCACTCCTCAAGCACAAGTCTGTCAGGAAACAACAAGAGGCAGGCTTCACAAAGGCAGAGCTACAGGAAATCAGGACAAGATTCAACCTCCCCAACATCAAAGACCATACAGCCAGGAAGATTGCTTACAATCAACGAAAACGCAAGATGATCGACGAAGCTGGTGGCATTGAAGCCTGGAATGCATCCAAAGCCGCCGCCCATCTTGCCCGCGTAGCAGAAGCCGGTGGAGAAGAAGCTTTCCTGAAAGCGCGGAAAGCTGAATATGCTGCTCTTATCGCAGAGGCGGAGACTGCTTCTACCAACGAGGCTATCGACGCTGAACGACGGACCTACTACCAGATTGCTATCGAGAGGGCGGACCGAGCTATCAAGGCCAAGGCTGGTAGTGGCGAAGCCGACTATGTCGAGTCGACCTTGGAGGAGTTCCGCTTGCGGAACGGTGGTGGTCTGAGTGAGATCTACCGTGCGGCGCAAAAGGAGAGGAGTGCGGGTGGTGATGCTTGGGGCGCGCTTGTTAACTCGAGTAAGAAGCCTGCGGATAACCGGCCGCGCGTGTAGTAGAAGTTGTATGACTGAGATGTTGATATGTACAAATACTGTTTGTATACCATGGACTTTTACGAACAGCATTTACGCTACGCATTATCGTGTGCCATCTCGTTCGCTTTTGAATTAAGCAGTCGCTGTCTCGCTTGCCATGGCGGCTCCTATCCACATTTCACTTTCTATTGACGTATCTTGAGATCAGACGGGTTTCAGGTGTGCATCCTTCACAACTTCTGGCAAGGCTGGCGCCGATCCTTGGTCAGGTCATTGGTGCGCTTAGCTCTTGCCTGATGGAGTTGCAGGAGGATGCATGGGAGGCGGTGTCGGATTCTGTGACTTCAGCTTCAACCAAAATCGCACCTTGACTACGCTCACTGCGACATTGTTCATCTTCTCATTATCTGGTAACATCGCGCCATCTTGCCACTCTTGCCTGGGCCACTTTTCGGTAGCTCAAAACTACAACTCTTGACGCCATCTTCAGCCTTGTGCCTTGCCAACGATAACATCAAGGATGGCTGCACATGATGTGGAAGACTTTTGGGAATCTATGGACCGTGCGATACATACCTTAGAGGTGCATCAAACCAACAAACTCCGTCGAACGTCTGTTAGAACATTCATGGGGTTACCCGGCGAGGTTGAGCGTCCCTCTTCAGACGTTCCTTGGTCTGCCTATCGACCTTCCACTGAGTTCAACTTCACATGAGCTAAAACCGGCGCGTTAGACGATCATAATGCACTGAGTTCCAGTCCTGGCTATCAGCAATCTTCAATGTCGGATTTCAATTCCTCAGCAACTTTTGTGACCGCGAGCAGTCTTGCCACCTTTACCAGTGCAAGATCAACGTATAGTGGCCCAGCCATGAGGATTGAAACCATTCGCGAGGATGAGCCACCTGAACCCGGACTCTCGGCACCACTCAGAGAGCTATATGGAGACTATTACTCTACCCTTCATAAGAGGGAGATCATCCAGCCATTTGATAAGGAACTCAACTGGTCCGGCAAGGGCCAGCACGTTACGTTTTCGGCCACAGATGTGATTCCACTGTCACACATGTCGCATCTAGGGTCATCCATGTCCGCGAGTGTCGATAAAGTACTCTGTCGTCGGGTAGCTCTTGCACGAAAAACCATGAGATGCAACTCAAGATGGACTGTGGCTGATGCTCTACAAGAAGTCTCTCATTTACAGAAACTCCGCCATTTTCATATCGTTCAGCTTGTGGGAACCTATCTTCAAGGTCGTAGCTTTTCGATCTTGATGTACCCAGCCGCGGACACGCACCTTGGAAGATTCCTGGAAGATACACAGGACATGGATCTGAGAACTTCTATGAGACGCAGAAGTTTCCTCACTTCAACGCTGGGCTGCCTCACTTCAGCTGTGGCTTTCATCCATAAGCATACTACAAAACATATGGACATAAAGCCCCAGAACATACTTGTACGAGAGGAAAGTTCGTCTGGCCCTTGGTCCATATGGCGTGTTTACGTTGCCGACTTCGGGTACTCGCGTTCATTCGCTTCAGAAGACCATAGTCAAACTGATGGTCCTACCCCACTAACGCCTAGATACTGTGCACCTGAGGTGTGTAACTACGAACGAAGAGGTCGATCTGCAGACATATTCTCACTTGGCTGCGTTTTTCTCGAGATCCTAAGCACTATATGTTGCAGAGATCTGGAAGCCTTGAGGCGTAGGCGCTGGGCTGGCGGTAGCGATGACTGGGCCCGCCGATACTTTTGTAGGCCATCGGGTGGGCTGAAGGGTAGCGGGTACGAGGTTGCTGATGATGACGTGCTCAAGGTAGTCACCGAATTGGTTATCAGCATGGTCGCCCAAGAACCTGAGAAGAGGCCTACCGCAGCGGAAATCCTCAACTGTCTCAAAAGCGAGCAGGCCAGCGCCTCAAATCTTGCTGAGGTCATCTCCGAAGACAACGTCCTATTCAGGAGCAGGCCTCTAGCTTTTTCACTAATGTCCTGCTGCGATAATCCCCAAGAGCCCTATGAAGCATACCAACCCCCCTCCAGCAATACGCCTGGGGGTTTCATGCATACATCATTTAGATAGTGCCACAATGCAGAAGGATGATACAAAGCTGAAGTCATAACGTCTTGAATTCCGTATAAAAATGAATCTCAACATCTCCATCTCTCCTATGCACTTGAATCAGAGCACGTATAGATGATCCGGCTCATGCTTCCCGCAGACATTGCCACCAAAGCGGGACAACTTTCTCTTTCCATCTTAAGCTGCGTTCTTTACAGCTACCCCACTTCCGTCATCGTCGATAATGTACAAGAACGAATTATGTTAACCTACGACAGATTGGTAGGTGAAAGAAACAGAGAAACAGATAGCAAAAAATATGCCCACAAAACGCCGGCGAAGAAAGTGAGAAGCAAACAGGCAAGCAAGAAAGATATCCGCCCGAGCTGAAATGGGGTAATAATGTTGGAGATCTAACGCCAGGACGGAGAAGACTGGTGAAAAGTACGATTCAATATGGAAATCGGGAGAGGGATAAACGCCGCGCTATACAAGAGATAGAGATGCGAGAATGTTGCGAGAAGAGAGGCCACGGAAGAGTGGGAAGGCGAGGGACAAGTGATGAAGGACTAGTTGCCCGCCTTCATCCTCTTGTTACCTCCCACCCTTGGGCTTTGCTTGACCTTTTGCCCGCCGTTCATATCTCCGCCACCGTCATCGTTGTCCATCTTTACTGTGCTCCGCCGCCGCTTGTTGTTCATCATGTTTGGAGATGTGTTGACGCTCATGGTGTGTGAACTAGTGCTCTGTTGCTTCATCATGGGCTGCGAGTTAGGCGAGGGTGTATGTTGGAAGTGAGGCGACCCACCCATTGATCCGTTAGGAAGAAGGGAGTTCTGCATCGCGGGTGACATGAACATTTGGGGCTGGCCGGGGCCTCCTGGTCGCGGGCCGGGCTGCATGTTAGGTTGCATGCCTGGTCCCTGTTGAGGCCCTTGGTTCGGGTGCTGCGGGCCTTGAGGACCGCCTTGGGTGTTTGCCATGTTGTTCCATGACTCCAGAGCTTCGCTTGGCTTCATATGAGGGTTCTCGAGGTAGTGTACCATCAAGCTTGTCATGTGGTTCATTGGCTCGTAAATCTAGGCTTGTTAGTGTTAATGTCCATGAGGATGATATGGAGAAGAGTCTTACCTCAAGATAGGCCTGCAAACCGTGAGGCAGCCCATAGTCTGTAGTACTAGCACTGAGCAGCTTGTTGATAGGTAGATACGCTTCTGGCGGCTCAACCCCTCGTTGCTGCGGTGGTCCTGCCTTCTTCTTCATCCGCGGCGACTGATTTGGATTCAGTTGGTTCGGCGAAGGTTGAACAAACATCTGCTTCAGAGCATTGAGTGGTATGAATTGTTCGTGGCCGAGACCGTCGAACAGCAACCACTCCAGCTTATCTGAGCCAGACCAGAACGCGGTCAATTTGCCTTGGTACACAACCTGGCAAGAGTTCTTGTATGTGTAGATGAACTTTGCTCGCTCACAAGTTACTTTGAGCTCAGCACCTGAGACCTTTTCTGTCGCTGCATCCAGGGTGATTTGCAAGCTGGCGACGTCGGTGTTGAAGAGTGTGTAGAAGTATCGAGGTAGGGCGGCGTAAACAATTTCGAATTGCTTAGATCTCTCTGTACTTGAGGAGCAAACGATGTGGACAAAGGATCCAGACTCGGCGAAGAATCTATCCACAAAGGCTTGCCACCACTCAATGTTGTTGTTTGTGCCGTTAAAGTTTCCTATTTGTTCCACGAAGTTCAGCAACTTCAGTGTTCCCTGGCCTGAAGAAACAGTCTGTGCTTGCTGCTGCTTCATCATTGCCATCTGACGGGCCTGGTTTTGGGCAGCGTTCGCTTGAGCCTGTGCCTGAGCTTGTTGTACTAGTGCTGGATTCCGTTGTTGCATTTGGTTTTGAGCTTGTTGGTTTGCTTGTTGAGGTAGGTTGGGCGGTTGGGATGGAGCAGGCGTCTGCTGTTGTGGCCCTGGGCCTGATTGTGGCGGTTGGGATGATTGTTGCTGTTGTTGAGCTTGTTGCTGGGCCTGTTGTTGAGCCTGTTGCTGAGCCTGCTGTTGGGCTTGTTGCTGGGCCTGCTGTTGCTGCTGAGCCTGCTGCTGTTGCTGTTGTTGCTGCTGTTGTGGCTGCGGTGGTGGTGGCTGTGGCTGTTGCTGAGGCGTAGGTTGAGGAGCTGGCGACGACTGTCCTTGATGGCTGCCTATCGCGGATGGAGGACGAAGAGGCCCTTGCTGAGGCTGAGAGGTTTGTGGCGGTCCCTGGTTCCCTGCCTGGCTGTGATTGCTAGACTGAGATTGGGCATGTTGCATAGCAATCGCCTGCTGTTGTGCCTGCATCTGCTGTTGTTGATGAGCGTGTTGTTGAGCTGCTTGGGCCATGGCAGCTTGTTGTTGCGGGCCTCCAGGATGTTGACCACCCATCTGCTGTTGTTGCTGGAGCAGGTGGGGAGGAAGGTTGACAAACGGTCCTTGGCCCATCTGACCATTCCTCATTGCTTGCAACTGCTGTGCTTGTGCTTGGTTCAAGTTCATGGGATTCTGAAAACCCATTCCCATACCGCCTTGTTGGTGGGCAAGCATGGCCTGCTGTTGCTGCCGGTGCATGAATGCTTGCTGGGCTGTTCGTTGCTGTTGCATCATTGCAGGGTTCACTATCATTTCTGTCAGTCATTGCCCTACAATTGCACGAAGCGGTAATACTGACTCATCTGATGTTGCTGCTGTTGAGGGAACATGTGCTGCTGAGGCTGTAGGTGTGAGAGGGCATGCGCATTAGCACCCATGCCTGGCTGCATGCCCATCATGGGTCCAGCCTGACTGACGGGACCATTGGGGCCGGAGACGTGCTGCATTCCCGGTGGCATTCCATGTTGGCCTGGGTTCGGGCCAGGGCCGCCCATACCTGGGTGCGCATGCTGCATGCCTTGAGGGGGCATGCCGCCATTGTGTGGGTAGCTCGTTGTCATCATCTTGCTGGATCTTCAGTGCGGACGGTCGACTCGCAGTTGCGGAAATGTATCGGGTAGAGGTAATGCGACAGTTGAAGAAATTGGGAGGTAGGTCCGCGTGATGCGAAGAATGACCGGCGACAAGATGGGTTCAGCAATGTTATTGCTTCCAAGTCATACGTGCTCGGAAAATCGCGTCAAGTCCAATGGGGGAAGAGTGTTTCAGGTGGTTGCGACGAGATGTCGAAATATGGCCCCGGTGTCGCCGATGAGGGAGGCTGATGAATTGCCCGCGCAGGTGTCGCGATGGGCGCGCTGCAGGCCGGTGGTCGGTACTTGCCGGGCACTTGGAACAGGGCGAGGGTCAAGCAAGAGGTCGCGCAAGGTGCAGCGCAATACTCACGAGGGCGAAGAGGTGGAGTTGAGGTGTGCTGCCACGTCTGGCGCGGTGTCGTGTCGGGTGATATCGTGTCGCATCCGTCCCGCCAGCAGAGCGGTGGAGTAGAGACGAGAGAGAGGCCGTCCAGAGGCTGCAGGAGCGGTGCGGCGATGGTGTCTAGCGACGCGGTGTTATGCGACGATGCGTCCGGTGCGAGTTTAGATCCAGGGCCAGGGACGATGCCAGGGACGCGGGCGTCGAGTGGTGGAGTTCTGGCGTGGTGAGAGGTGATGGGCGCATGGCCCTCTCCGAAGATCAGCGCTGGTTAGGGGGCCGTTTCGGTATCGCGCGAAAAGCTGCGTGGCTGGGCAGAACCCAATCTATCCGGTCTGCAACTCACGAGCAATATATCCGCCGGCACAGCAGGACAACAACGCGTCTGACTGTTGTTCACTCGTGTCCGACTTGACAGGGTGCACACTGAAGTCTCTTCTTGCTGTGACGCCTTGCTGCTGGTCGCTACTGCCCGGATGACGATTCCAAATAATCCCGCTTGCCCGTTCGGGCGTACACGTGATGCGACAAATCTTGGCGCGCTAATTCGGCGCTGTACTTTTCTTCGACCGCGACACTGGTTTTCTCTCGACAATAAACTCAATCTGCAGGTCGTGATGGACATGCGTACAACCACTGGCTCCGGGCTGCTTCATGCGAATTATTGAAGGCCCGAAGCCAGCCCTCCCTATAACGTAAGTCTACTCCTTTTTTCTTTGCTTTTCTCTGGAAAGATTATACCCTCAGCAACTTCTTTTCCTTACCGATTCGACCTTGAAGATAGCAAAGCTGTTCGGTTGCCCTTCGCCGGGTGACTGCTACTTGCCAGTACTGTCGTATGACCTCTGTCACTGTTCTTGAATCATCTGATTAAGTTTGCATGTCAGATTGCTAATGTTCAAGTACAGTAATCTTCGCTTACTCTGATCGGCGCGTGCCTTTCCGAGTCTTGTCGCCCAGCCCGGCATCGCATCGCATTGCGTTCCATCGAGATTTTCGCAATACTATACCAGTCTGGTGACGACCGCATTGTTGAATGTGCGCATAACGCAGGCTCAAACAGCTTTGCGGCGCAATAGCATACGCGTATGCGCGTAATCATGACAGTTAACAACAGTTCCATGGCATGTCTGCTGTGATAAAAGGTCAGTTTTCTCCAATTTTTTTCCACACCTCTCCCTTTCATGATGAAACATTTCCACATTCGCAGTTTCCACGCTAGCCATCAATTGAACCTACAACCGATGGACAATGAGCGCGAATACCTTCCTTGGATGTCTGATTCTTATACATACTCTGTTGTGTCATTGCTGAAATTTATATCCAACAATCACTGACATGGTCAAACAGATTCTCGACACTTCTTGTGGAGCTTAGATCTATTAGGTACTTCGGTTGGCGACAGCTTTGTGTTCGCATTAGCTGTATGGATATGGTCAAGATAGCATAGTTTTACAGTAGTATAGAAATACCATCTACCTGTTGCGACCTTACCTGCACTCCGTCCTCCGCTTCGTTCATCGCGAAATGCTCTTAGTCTGCTGACCTCCACCCTAACTTTCATGTTTCGCCTTGTTGATGCCTGCGCTGATGCGAAAACAGGTACTGATCATACACAGGATGATCATGCTTCAGCAGGCTGTCTATGTTTGTTTACATGCGAGGGCGAGGCTGTTTTGCGTAAATGTCGCAGTAAAGTGCCAAGCCCCAGCTGCCACAGTCCAGCGTCATTGTCGCATCTGGCATAGGCGCTAGAGCATCCTGGTCAGAGCTTCCCCAACCCACTTGGACGGCCGACCTCTAACTTCGTCACCCAACGATCTTCGAGGCTACAGACCGACCGCGGCCCTCGATCCAACTCCGAGCGACACCTGCACCTCCCCGAACCGCTCACTACCGCCACGATGCCTGAAGTTGTGGACCCCCGCATGATCTCGGTGACGCCCAGGATACGATACAACACCATCGGAGGCGTCAACGGTCCATTGGTTATCCTCGACAATGTGCGTAGTCCAAGGTCATGAGACGGAGTGAGAGGAAGCTTATACATGTGGTGGACAGGTCAAATTCCCGCGATACAACGAGATTGTCTCCCTGACTCTGCCCGATGGCACCGAGCGCTCTGGTCAGGTCCTCGAAGCTCGAGGTAAGCTACTCCGACGCCGATGATACACCCCGAGACTGACACATGCTGCAGGCAACCGCGCTGTTGTCCAGGTAAATTCCGACACGCTCAAGCTGTGCGACGGCTCAATCTAATCGCGCCACAGGTCTTCGAAGGCACATCTGGTATCGATGTCAAGAAGGTACTTAGGCCCAGCGCTGCGCACGAGGACTACACTGACAGTCGCAGACCAAAGTTGAATTCACTGGACACAGCTTGAAGCTCGGTGTGTCCGAGGACATGTTGGGTCGTATCTTCGATGGTTCAGGAAAGCCCATCGACAAGGGCCCCAAGGTGCTCGCCGAGGACTACCTTGACATTAACGGTTCTCCCATCAACCCATACTCTCGTGTATGTGTTAGTCCTGCTTTCTTCTGACTATGCGACTGACGACCTGCAGGTCTACCCCGAGGAGATGATCTCCACCGGTATCTCCGCCATCGACACCATGAACTCGATCGCCCGTGGCCAAAAGATCCCCATCTTCTCCTCGTCGGGTCTACCTCACAACGAAATCGCCGCGCAGATTTGCAGACAGGCTGGTCTTGTTGGAAAGCCATCCAAGGGTGTACACGATGACCACGACGACAACTTCTCCATTGTCTTCGGTGCTATGGGTGTCAACTTGGAGACGAGTCGCTTCTTCACTCGCGACTTTGAGGAGAACGGCAGTATGGAGCGTGTCACTCTGTTCCTCAACTTGGCAAACGACCCTACGTAAGTCAGGTGCGCATGCGCTACGACCCCAGCTAACCCAGCCTAGCATCGAGCGTATCATTACTCCACGTCTCGCCCTTACCACCGCCGAATACTACGCTTACCAGCTCGAGAAGCACGTCTTGGTCATTCTTACCGACTTGTCTTCTTACTGTGATGCGCTACGTGAGGTTTCCGCTGCCCGAGAGGAAGTCCCTGGTCGCCGTGGTTACCCCGGTTACATGTACACGGATTTGTCTACCATCTACGAGCGTGCTGGACGTGTTGAGGGCCGTAACGGATCTATTACTCAGATCCCTATTCTTACTATGCCTAACGACGGTACGTCCTGAAACTTATACAACCAATGCCTTGTACTAACTGCACCAGATATCACACATCCTATCCCCGATTTGACTGGTTACATTACAGAAGGTCAGATCTTCATTGACCGTCAACTCGACAACAAGGGTATCTACCCTCCGATCAACGTTCTCCCATCCCTCTCCCGTCTCATGAAGTCTGCCATCGGTGAGGGCCGCACACGAAAGGACCACGGTGACGTGTCCAACCAGCTGTACGCCAAGTACGCTATTGGTCGTGATGCCGCTGCCATGAAAGCAGTCGTTGGAGAGGAAGCTCTGTCCTCAGAAGACAAGCTGTCGCTTGAGTTCCTCGAGAAGTTCGAGCGCTCCTTCATCTCCCAGGGTGCCTACGAGTCTCGCTCCATTCACGAATCCCTCGACCTTGCCTGGTCGCTGCTCCGTATCTACCCCAAGGAACTCCTCAACCGTATCCCAGCCAAGGTTCTCGACCAGTACTACCAGAGGAGTCGGGGTGGTGACGATGGTGACAAGAAGAAGGGCAACAAGGATACCAAGGACAACTCCGGCGAGAATGGCCAACAGGGTGAGAACTTGATTGATGTTTAAGCAAGATATCTATAGTGTGTTTGAGTTTGAGGATGGAATGGGTTGACTCTATGGCCATGTTCAGTGAGCGGAATGTGGGTAGAAATACTGCATTGAGTATATATGAATTTGCTGAATCTTTAATCGGATGTGTTCCTGATTCCGTACGAAGTGATATGGATTGGACTAATCATGATGATTGATGATAATTTGACTCTCCGGCCATGTTAATGCTATCAGCCATCCATATTCGTGATACACTCATACAAGTTATGTGAATCTTATATTCTACTCATCTCACAATAGTAAGCTCTGAGGACCATGAGATACCCTATGGTTTCTAACCGCCAGCACGTCAGTTTGATGCACTACCTCCATACTTTCCTATTATCATTAAAGACACAGAGATATTGCCAGTTCATTCTAGCTTTTTGTACGGTTTACGTCGCTGCACTCTTTTATTTGCAAAAGTCCACCTGTTACCAATGTATCACAGGGAGAAGACTGCATTTTTGATCTTTTTCTATTTGGCAGTTTAACTCACTTGGTAGCAACGTCTGCTTCTTGTTTTCACAACAAGTAAATTGACACTTAGAGACGTTGTCATGTGCTCGTGCAATCATTCTGGAGTGGGGTTACGTTATCTTCGTCTAGGCCAAGGCCAACTTGAATCGCGTCCCATAAGTCGGCAATGCATCTTTGCTTGGTATCGTGGTCAATGGGATTTAGCTCCCTCTCTTTGGCTCTGATGGCCTGTCCATTAGGCTTTTTCCTTTGTTTCTCATATTGCAGTGGTCTTTGGTGGGCTTGGATCCGCGATCTTCTCTCTACTGAATTGGAGAGGCCAGTCTACAGGGCCTGAAGCCTACATCAATTGCAATACTTGCAATACTTAGAGTAATGCATCAGCATGGCGCCCACGAATCCTGCCATTCTATCCAACATGGGACCAGATCGGTCTTCTTGAAGCACACATGCACACAAGAATCTTGCACGCTCACTTCGACTTCCACTTTGAGGTCGTTCCCTCTTCCACGCTCACGCTCACTACGCGTTTCCTCTTCCCCCGCACCATCCCATCTCACATCGACCCGTAAACAGTGCAAACGCTTTTATTATGATGCCACGTGAAAATTTGGCTTGTTGTGATGTGATGCTTGTTGAACTTTTGAACGTCCAAGCAACAACAGTGCGTATTGTCACCGCCCGACCACCCGCCACAAACCTCTTGCTGCTGCTGTTGCTACCATCATCTTCTTTCGCCTCTTCTGTCTCCTGTTCGCCGGCTCGCTGCTGCCGTCACGGTCTTCTCCTCGCAAGCTTTCTTGGTCGCCAACATGACCACCATGCCACCGTTCGCGCCGGTCTGGCCGAGACCCGTGGCGGATCCGATGACAATGTAAGCATTGATCTCTCTATCTCTTTTCTTCAAGCATTGCTTTCTTGGTGTTACTTCGTGAAATGCAAAAATGGAAGGCAAGTACGAGAGGTAAGTATAAGGATATATGGAAAGAGCTCGATATCGGAAACTGGAAACTGGAGACAGCAAATGGAGAACAGTTCGGCATGAAGCTTAAGAACAACGAGGTACTTCGAAGTGGATGGAGGAAGAAAAAATAGTAAGTTTTGCTTCTCAAGTGGAAAGACGCGGTACTAACAAGCAGGATATTATTCATCGGAACTAAGATGAAAGAGCAGTCGATGTTGTCTACCCATCTTATATCATCCGACCATTCCATACAAGACGTCGATACAGCGACCTAGCCGTTTTCACTTCCGACATTCGAACATACACCGGACTGAAGGATACGTATCTTCATTCAAACAAAGACAGCTCAAATTCGGCTCCGTGCCGACCTACAGCGAGACAGTTCATCTTGAGATCGAGAGAAGCCAAGGGCCAGGATACCTTTAGTGATAAGAGCGGCTACTCCGGCAATCTGTCAGGCCTCATGTAGTCACCACCCCTGCGTGAAATATGGCTCAGAGTGTCATGGGGCCAATGCGTATGCTTGGGATGTGGACCAGATGGAAGCTGCATTCAAATTCAAGCATGAGCAGGGAGTATACATGCTAACCTAACCCACATAGAGGAGTACGAGGTCAGATCTTGTTTTCTCCCGACATCATCCTCGGGGACCAGGTCGGGATCCGGAACGATCTCCGTAACCGTAGGGACCGTACCTCGGTGGTCGAGCAGTTCGCCTTTGGGCTGTGGAATGAGTTCTTTCTTCCATCAGGAGCCACGGGCACCTGTGTGTACGTGACGAAGAGCTGGCATCAGGCGTCGGCGCCTCATTTCACTGCCTGGCTGGTGTTTCTGTTCGACACCCCGAGAAGGGCCCAGCACTGGGCCACAGCCCATGTGTATCTGGACTTCTCAGAGTCCGTATGCAAGGTGATTGATGGGCCGCGGAGGTGCTGGGTCAAGAAGCTATGGGAAGAAGACTACACCGTGTACGACGTAAGTTCTTCTGTTTATCTAAACACAATTTAGCAAACTGACCAGCTTTGGCAAGGCGACAAGGGCGAGACCGGCACACATACCTCCGCCGCCGATGCCGCGGGTAGGAGAATACCCTCCCCACTATCCTTCTCCATACAGGTACATATGTCCCATGTTGATTCAAGAGACTTCAAGTCACCTACTTCAACCCTTTCTCGACGATGTAACTACAACTCGCTTGATGGTTCCTTCGCAGACCAAGCCATTGTATAAATTCTTCTTTTTCATTTCCACCAGCTAGTCTTCTTCACTACAGCCTGGAGGCTAGTCGCGACCGTCTTTCCGTTCTCGACTATCTCCCGGAGAGACAAGAGTCGCAGGAGCCCAATCTTCGGTATGTGTATAGAACCCCCCAAACAATCCCCACATCCTTTTTCTCAATCCCTCAAACACCTGCTCGCCCGGCCTTGGATTCATCGGGTCATTTCGGAAGTCGTGGAACAAGACGCCATAGACGACGATGAAGCTGATCAGACTCCACTGCACCACCTTTGTCCACTTGTTCCATTGAGGCCGTATAGACTTCATCTTTATGCGGCGTTTGAACTTGCGCTCGAACCGGAACTGCTGCTTGTCCGTCAGGGCGCGCAGATTCGGCGGCCATTTCTTCTTGGCTGGGTATTTGTTGCGCGCGAAGTCAAATGGTGGCAGTGTGTTCTCGTTGCGGCCGAGAAGGCGGTTGAAGAGGCGCAGCATGGTCGCTGGCTTCGTCGATTCGACGACGGTGATAGAGCGGCTCGTGTGACTGGTCGATTCGCGGTGTGGTTTCTCGAGGATGCTTGACTGACGTTCTTTACAGTTGAGGCACAGACCAAACAGCCCCACAATTCCTCGCACCGAAATCGAAAAAGTTGTGACTAACCCGCGAAAGCCCGCACTGGCCACCATCTTCCTCCATACACCCCTCACATCCACAAACTTTTGTTTCCGCGCCCATTCCAAATTCTTTCTACGACCGTTCTTTACTTTCTGGAATTGTCGTGATGGCGGAGGCCACAAAACTCAGCGACGCGCCAAAGAGCGCCGTCGCCGCAACCCTGGAACAACTCAAGCCGCAGGAGGCTGAGTCAAAGACACTGAAGATTGAGAATACTGAGAAGCGTGACACATTGACCGCGCAAGAGAAGAAGTATCAGAAAGCATGGGAAGAGCAAGGCGTCTTCAACCCCGACGCCCCATCTCTCGAAGAAGAACCCTTTGACACCACCACACCTGACCAACTTCACGAGAAGTACCCCAAATGGTTTGGTTGCTTTGCCTACCCGTACATGAACGGTACCCTACATGCCGGACATGGTTTCACCGCTAGTAAAGTCGAGTTTACCGCAGGCTTCCGAAGGATGACTGGCGCTCGTGCTCTCTTCCCATTAGGTTACCATGTGACCGGCATGCCTATCAAGGCATGTGCAGACAAGTTGGTTCGGGAGGTTGAGATGTTCGGAAAGAACTTTGAACGCTGCCCTGTTGAAGATGTTGTCGAGACTTCTGTGCCAGAGCCACCAGCTCCAACACAGGCTGAGACAAAGACCGACATCACCAAGTTCAAGGCACAGAAAGGCAAGGCATCCGCCAAGACTGTCAAGACAAAGTACCAGTTCCAAATCATGCTTGCCCAGGGTATCCCTCTTGAGGAGATTCACAAGTTCTCTGACCCTTATCACTGGATCGAGTTCTTCCCCCCACTTGCTAAGAAGGACCTCACAGCATTCGGAGCTAGGATAGACTGGAGACGTCAGTTCGTCACCACCGATGCCAACCCCTACTACGACAACTTTGTTGCCTGGCAAATGCGCCGCCTGAAAGCCATGGGAAAGATCATCTTTGCTAAGCGCTACACTGTCTACAGTCCAAAGGATGGCCAAGCATGCATGGACCACGACAGGCAGTCAGGAGAAGGTGTCACCGTCCAGGAGTACACCGCACTCAAGATGAAGGTTGTGAAGTGGGCAGATTCCGCCAAGGCACATGCCGACGCCGTTCCCGAGGGCGCCTCTTGCTACTTCGTCCCAGCCACGCTTCGTCCAGAAACTATGTACGGTCAGACCTCATGTTTCGTAGGCCCTGCGATCAACTACTCCTTGGTCAAGATCAACGACAACGAATACTACGTCCTTAGTGAGAGAGCCGCAAGGAGCATGGCATACCAAGGTACTACTGCCAAATGGGGCGAGTACTCGATTGTCGCCACCTTCCCTGGTAAGGATGTTGTCGGCACAGTCGTCAACGCCCCTCTTTCCGTCCACAAGGACGTCTACATTCTTCCCATGGAGACAGTCAAGGACACAAAGGGTACGGCTGTTGTCACATGCGTGCCATCAGACTCGCCAGATGACTACATCACGTCCTTCGATCTCGCCAAGAAAGCCGAGTACTACGGTATCCAGAAGGAATGGGTCAAGTTTGACGATCTCCTGCCAATTATTGAAACTCCCTCTTACGGTAACCTCACCGCGAAGCACTTGGTGGAGCAGATGAAGATTCAATCCCCCAAGGACTCTGCAAAGCTTGCCGATGCCAAAGAGAAGGCCTACAAGGAAGGATTCTACAAGGGCAAGATGGTTCACGGCGACTTCAGCGGAAAGACTGTAGAAGAAGCCAAGCCGCTGGTTCGCAAGCAGCTCATCGACTCCGGTGATGCCTTCCCGTACGCTGAGCCTGACGGCAAGGTCATCAGCCGAAGTGGTGACGACTGCGTTGCAGCTCTTCTCGACCAATGGTACATGAACTACGGCACAGCAGCGAACGGCGGAGACGGTGAATGGGCTGAGAAGGTCCGCTCGCATATCGAGGGCGAGCTCAACCTTTACTACCCTGAGGCGAAGAACCAATTCTTGCGAGTCGTCGACTGGCTCAGCATCTGGGCATGTGCTCGTTCATACGGTCTTGGTACCAAGGTACCCTGGGACCCAAGTGTGATGGTCGAGAGTCTGTCAGACAGTACAATCTACCAAGCCTACTACTCATTCGCCCACCTGCTGCACAAGGACATGTTCGGAAAGGAGCCCGGTCCTCTCGGAGTTAAGCCTGATCAGCTTACTGACGAGGCTTGGGATTATGTATTCGCTCTCCGCGACCGATCCGATCTCCCGCAATCCGACATTCCCGCCAAGACTCTGCAAACTATGCGGCGACACTTCGACTACTGGTACCCGCTTGACATGCGCACCAGTGGTAAGGATCTCATCCAGAACCATCTGACCTTCAACCTTTACGTCCATACCGCCATCTTCCCCAAGGAGAACTGGCCCCGCAGCTTCCGTGTGAATGGACATCTGCTCCTTAACGGTGACAAGATGAGCAAGTCTACCGGTAACTTCCTGACCATCGCCGGTGCTGTCGAGAAGTTCGGTGCCGACGCTACACGTATTGCCCTTGCCGACGCAGGAGACGAGATCTCAGACGCCAACTTCGAAGAGACAGTCGCGAACAGCAACATCCTGAAGCTGTTCGAGCTCCGCAAATGGTGTGAAGACTTGATGAACGAAGCTATCTACGTTCCCAATGCGGCCGCATACATGGAGAAGAGGCAAGAAGCGAAGGTCAAGAACCCCGACGTTATCCAACGACAGAGCGGTAGCGAGCGTCTGCTCTTCGACAACATGTTCGACAACGAGATGAACTTCTTGGTTCACGAGGCATTTGGACACTACTCCAACACATCTTACAAGCTAGCTCTCAAGTCCGGATTCTACGACTTCACCAGCGCGCGTGACTTCTACCGTGAGGCCACCAAGGCTGCGGGTATTGGTATGCACCAAGACTTGGTCAAGAAGTTCATTGAACTCCAAGCCCTTCTCCTCACACCTATCGCGCCTCACTGGGCAGAATACATCTGGCTTGAGGTGCTCAAGAACAAGGAGACCATCCAGAAAGCGCTTTGGCCCAAGGTTCCCGAGCCCAACGCTTCTCTCACCGCTGCCCGAGAGTTTGTCCGAACTACACAAACCAACATCACATCAGCAGAGGGTAACGCCATGAAGAAGCTATCAAAGGGTAAAGCCGCTACTTTCGACCCCAAGAAGGAGAAGAAGATCATCATCTTCGCCGCCAAGGAGTGGCCTGCTTGGCAGAAGAAGTACATTGACATGCTCCGCGACGCCGAATCCATCGACATCAAGGCCATCAGCAAGTCCATTGACAAGTCCGAATCCAAGAAAGCCATGCCTTTCATCAACGGTCTCAAGCGTCGTCTCGATAACGGTGAGCCCAAGGATGTCGTTCTGAACCGCGAACTTGCTTTCGATGAGCTTGACACTCTGCGCGCTATGGTTCCCGGTCTGAAGCAGACGGTGCAGAAGTGCGTTGACGTGGAGATCATCACTGTCACAGAAGGTGGCAAGGATGGAACTGTCACTAAGGAGGACGGTAGCCAAGGTGATGCACGATCGGATCTCCCACCGCAGGCTGCTACTGCTGAGCCAGGCAGCCCGAGCTTCGCTTTCGAGAACGTCGAGAACATGCCCGTGCGATAAAGAGATGAAATGAATGTATATGGATCAAAAGGTGAAATGGGTATTGGTGTTGGATTAGGCTGGGCTTACGCTTTCTACGAAACGATACGATACGAGTGATGTGGATGGCTGAACGAATGGCATGGTCTGGAAAAGGAGGCACACTGGTAGATAGACACTGTAAGACATATATCTTATGACGGATACCTCCCGGACACCAAGCCACATCAATGCCAAAGACATTGTACTCACATATCTCTGCCTCTCAAACTGCGCATCATGTACATGCTTTCCTAAGATGATAGGCTAGTTACTCAGGGAAGTGATACTTCATTAGAAGGTGTGATGATCGTTCAATACTTTTGATCCGAGATTACATCTGTCTAATTACCCACATCGTTGGGGCAGTCTATCAGGTATATCGCCACCAACTGAATACTCTACAACTTCGCCCTCGCCTCATCCACCCTGTTACCCTGCTTGTCGAAGAAGATCTTCTTGCCATTTCTCAGACTATCCTGCAGTGCCACACCAATCTTGACCGCCTCCATTGAACTTTGCAGATCAATCGGCACCTCCTTGCCCTCGAGCACCGCATCAGTAAACTGCCTCGCCTCCTCTACAAACGCCTGCTCAAACCTCTCATAGTAGTTCTGCGGAATATCCCTGTGGATACCAGTAGAGATATGGCTCTCCAACAGTCCCGTCATGGGGTTCGAGTTGACGGCCAGCTTGCCCTTGGTACCGATAATCTCCGTCATGTCGTGTTGGCCTGGGGCGTTCATGCGCGAGGAGTAGAAGTATGCGATTTGGCCTGAGTGGAATTCTACGACACCAACGCCGTTGTCAACATCGCCATGCTTGGCTAGGTCGGGCTCGAGCGCTGTGACGCCGACGGCCATAACGGACTTCACTACAGGCAGTGTCTTGCCCTTGCTTTCGGCGGAGAAGTACCAGAGGGCGAGGTCGATGTCGTGGATGTTGCAGTCGACGAATATGCCGCCTGAGAACTCAGCATAGGCGACGAAGAAACCAGATGGGTCGTATCTGTGGGGGTTGTATGTTAGCTTATATTCTTGTATTAGGGAATCTGGGGGTTGCGCAACGTACTTGTCGCAGGTTTGCGATCGCAGGATTGTGGGACGGCCAATGTCGCCGTTGAGCGTCATGTTGTAGGCATTGACGTAGGAAGCGTCGAAGCGACGGGAGAAACCACACATGACTTTGACGTGGGGATTGCGCTTGGCTGTGTCGAGGACTTGGTGGACCTAGGTACTGCTGTCAGTCGCGCGCTCTTCTGGATCCAGGTATAGCGATTCACGTACTACGTCCAGCTTGGTGCTGAGCGGCTTCTCACACAAGACATGCTTTCCAGCCTCGATGGCCTTGATTGTGTGCTCGGCGTGTACGGTGGTAACGGTAGCTACACAGACAGCCTCGAGACCCTCGTGCTTCAGCATCTCGTCGTAATCGGTGTAGATCTTGACGCCCCATGGCTCGAGGTTCTCCTTCGCCCACGCAATCTCATTCTCAGCTGGTGTGAAAGCTGCTACGAGCTCAGCCTTGGGTGTGCGGTGAAGGAAGTGGTTTGCATGGCGAGCGCCCATGCGACCAAGGCCTGAGACGGCGACGCGGAGTCTGCGGACAGCTGGTGCCATTGTGAAGGATGTACTGGGATGAAAGGATGTAATGGAGATGTTTGCAAGTGAATGAGCTCTACAGGAAATCAGCGAGGCCCAGAGTGATGAGATATAGGCTGCAATGCGCACCTACGGGAATACACCGACTTTCAATCGCCAAAGATGTGCTTGGTCAAAGCTTCTCTCAGGGTCCAAGCTAAGCTCGACGACGCAATCTGAGCCTTTGGTGCATGTTCGTTTACACGCTTCACCAGGGACAAAACTCGGGGAATGCAGATTCCACAACTACGTCCAGAAGTCGACCATCACGCTTCCCCAGTATACTCCCCAGACTGCGGCGACATTGCCTACGCTGAGCAGTGCATTGCTATGTTTGGATCGGATCCTCGGCACGAGTATGGCGACGATAACAGACGGAACGCGGAAAACCTGTGGAGAAATGCATATCGTTGTTGACGCAAAGTGTGGGGAACGCGTGGAGTCGCGTCGCGCCAGGCACAGCTTGTCGGACTTTGACGAATGGGGAAAATCTCCTCTTTCGAACAGCCACCTGGGGCGAAATTGCCCCGCGCAAAGTAGGTGGCTTGCGTCAGAAACCGGTCACTAATCCTAGAGCTAAGATGCAAATATTTTGGCGCTGCGGAGGCGGACGGTAATGCTGGGGAAGGTTGGGGTTGCCGTGGCTGTGAAGGAAAAGGAAGGGTTAGCGACACTTCACATGCTTGCAGCCGGGGTACCTTGATGCTTCCCCGCATACGTCACTTGTTTACCAACACCGACAAAGGTACAGAGCCGAAAACATAGGGTTGAACATCTTGACGTTACGCGAGCCTGAGATCTCGACTGCATGCTTCTGTTGCTACATCTTCTAACACCTATGAACACCAAACTCGACTTTTTCAAAGATTAGCCTTGTCTCCCTCGCCAGTCTCAAGTACAACTTTGATGACTAGCTTTCCATTATCGTCCTTTGTCTTTCCTGCCATCTCAAACGCTTCGACGGCCGACTCCAAGCCCTTGTAGGTATGTGTTACCAACTTGGCAAAGGCAGGGTAGTCATCGCCCTGCTTTGATACGACTTCGATACCAGTGGGGTATGTATTCGCATATCTGAATACACCAACGATGTCGACCTCGCGGAGGGCAGCTGCGGAAATGGGAAGCGTCTGGATGGGCGTACCCATACCAATTAGCAGAACTTTGCCACCTGGTCGTGTTGCCTGAATCTATTAGCATATAGCCAAATCAGCTGTGTTGGCACAACTTACGTATATCGATGCTTGCACACAAGACGGCACACCGGTGCACTCGAATACGGCATCCACCTCGCCAACTTCACCACCACTTTCCTTCGATAGCTTTCCGACCTCGGCAGCTACCTCCTTGGCGATGTCCAGTTGCTCTTCTATTGTGCTTCCACGCTTCATAGGCACTGTGAAGCTGCGGTGCGCAAACTTGTTCTCGACTGCGAATTGCACTCGCCCAGCATCGATATCTGCTATCACAACTGTGCCAGCACCTGATATTTTGGCCATAGCCGCGACTAGCAAGCCTACAGCTCCGGCTCCAAATACCAAGACGGTTGAACCTGGTGCTAGTTGTGCGCGTTTTGATGCTTGGATGGCGACACTCAGAGGCTCAAGGAGGGCGCCTAGATCTAGAGACATATCCTCTGGTAGTCTTCTCATTGTTAGTCTCTCTAGCAATTATAACAGGCGCGACACTCACTTGTGGCACCAAGCAGCTGGGTGATTGATACGGTCTTGTAAAGTGCCCTGGGCGTGCGGGAATGCTTTTGCACTACTCCGGAACTTCATGCCTTTGCAGATGTTGTACCGCCCTTCTTTGCACCTATCGCAGTTCTCACACGGCTGTCCAACTTCCAGTGCGACCTTGTCTCCGACTTTGAAATTCGATACCTCTGAGCCTACGTCTACTACTACGCCAGCTGACTCGTGACCCAGCGACATTGGTTCTCGCACGATGATATCGCCATTGCGGTAGTGCCTGTAGTAATGGAGATCTGAGCCACATAGGCCGGTGCTGCGGATGCTGATTTGGAGCTCTGTGGGGGAAGGTGGGAAGAGTGAGCGGTTTTCCTGCCTTCCTGTTAGCACCTTCAAGTTTGAGGGAGTATTTTTGCCGCATACAATTCGTAGATCCTTCGCGCCATGAAGGACTGAAGCGCGAATTTGCCTTGGGGCGTCTGACGTTTCTGCTGAAGACATGTTGTCGCTACGTATGGTGGAATCAAGTTAGAAATGTATAAGTGAAGCTTCGAGGCGCGTTACACAGCGGTTTTCAGCTTTACAATGATGCAGAGTCGAAGTCAGGAAATAAGGAAAGGTTCAAGCATCAGGTCATCTCGCAAGGCATCGGAAGCTATTACGCGCCAGATAATCGGCGCGCTTTGCCTCATAGTATAGCATGCATCAGATGGAGACAAATTCCACCTTCGGCGTTTGAAATAGCGGGACAGCAGATGCCGACGCATGCCCAGATGGTGGGGTTGACCCTTTCCGAGGCAGTTCCGAGCTACCCAAACATCATGCTGCAGGAAAAGCCGTCGACTTCTGCCGCAAGCTTTCAAACTTCTTGATTGACTTGCATTAGGTTCTTGAAGAACTTTACCCAGACTTCCTGTCATTTTAAGGTCAATATACAGCCTCGGAATCTCGATAACAGCTTTAATTCTTCTCTGAAGCTTTCCGAACCACACCAAGCAAGACAGCCAGTATGACATCTGTACAGCAGCTCTTCTCGCTCGAGGGCCAAACAGCCCTCGTAACAGGTGGCACACGAGGAATTGGTCAGTCAATGGCCATCGCCCTCGCAGAAGCAGGAGCGGATATCCTCCTCGTCCAAGTACGCCCTCACTACCCTCACCCAATCCCTACAGCTGCTAACAACCTCTCCCCAGCGCGATACCAGTAACCAAACTACCAAACAAAAGATCGAGTCCCTCGGCCGCAAAGCCACAATCTACACTGCAGACCTCTCCTCCAAATCCTCCATCACCGCCCTCATCCCCAGCATCCTTTCCGACGGCCACAGAATACACATCCTGCTCAACTGCGGCGGCATCCAAAAGCGGCATCCCGCGCACCAATTCCCAGACGAGGACTGGGACGCCGTGCTCCAAGTAAACCTAACTTCTGTCTTTCAACTCTGCCGCGACGTAGGCGCACACATGCTCAGCCAACCCGCGGACCTTCCCCTAGGTCGCCGCGGAAGCATCATAAACGTGGCTTCGTTGCTCACGTTCCAGGGTGGCATTACTGTACCAGCGTATGCCGCGAGTAAAGGTGGTGTGGGACAGCTTACCAAGGCGCTGAGCAACGAGTGGGCGAGTAAGGGGGTCAGTGTGAATGCGATTGCCCCTGGATATATTGCTACGGACATGAACGAGGCGTTGATCAAGGACGAGAAGAGAGCGGAGAGTATCCTCAGTCGTATTCCGGCAGGGAGGTGGGGAGCGCCGGAGGATTTCAAGGGTGCGGTAGTTTTCTTGGGAAGTGCGGCGAGTGCGTACGTGAGTGGGGAGGTGCTTACTGTTGATGGTGGGTGGATGGGTAGGTAGATTGATTGACTGATCGCTAGAGTTGCACGACAGAGGAGGCAATGTTTAATGATAGACTTTTTCCTCTATATTCATGAGCTTGACATGTTCTTTGTGTCTCTCACCAGTTTGCATAACCTCTCAACTATCGCATAGGCTGTTTCAAGATCTTGGAAATTCATAACAATTCATTGGGTATAGCGTTTTAGTCCTATCCTAGATGCAACACCTACAACTTGCTTGCCTCAAGTAGTCAAGGTCCGCTGAGATCCATGCCCTCAGGCTTATCCGGGAATCCAGCATTGACACCAAACGGCGGGTATACGCAGCGGGTGATGCCCTTCTCTTTGTGAATCTTCTCCAGCTTCTCCATGTCCTCGCCATCGAGGGAGATGAGCTTCTTGTTCTCGTCAATGCGGGATGGAGTGACCGACTTTGCGAGGACGGAGGAGTTGCGGGCGACTTTGACGGAGTTAGTTGGGTGCTCGAGAAAGCATATGTTTGGTCAAACTTACGGTGGTAGCTCAAGAGAATGACGGCGGGGGTGACGCTGTGCTTCTTTGCGACCTCGTTGACGACCTCGTCCTTGAAGAGAGGCGAGCCAGTGCTTCCTAGCGGACTGTACGCTGTGATGTGAATGCCCTTCTCCTTGCAGAAGTCAACAACTTCTTGTTGTGGGCACAGTGGGTGGTTCTCGATCTGGTTGACAGCGGGGACGATGGTAGCCTTGGCCAAAAGCTTCTCCATGTACTTGACAGAGTAGTTGGAGACACCGATGGCCTTGACCTTATCGGGGTGCGACTTGATCAGGTTCTCGAGGTTCTTCCATGTGTCTTGGTGGGTGATTGAGGTGTCAATGTCTCTTGAACCGTCCTCGTGCTTGGGGAAGAGGGGGTGGTTGCCTGTAAACGTTAGTTTTGGTGTGCCCATAAGAGATAGTAGACTTGCCCTTGGGGTTCATGGGAACGGGCCAGTGCATGAGGTAGAGATCTACGTAAGGTGTCTTGAGCAGATCCAAACTCTTTTGCAGACCCTCCTCAGCACGGGTGTGGAATGTGCACCAGAGCTTGCTGGTAATGAACAGGTCCTCCCTCTTCACAATTCCTCGCGAGATGACATCCTGGAGCGCCTCGCCGACCTCGTCTTCGTTCTGGTAGCAGAAGGCACAGTCAATGTGTCTGTAACCACTCTCGATAGCGTGGACAACGGCCTTCTTGACCTCGCCAGGCGCAGACTGCCACGTTCCGAGTCCCAGAGCGGGGATGGTCGCGCCAGTGTTGAGGGGGATAGCAGTGTTCATTTCGGGCTGTGGGTCGAGGATACTTTTGGGTGTACTTTTGAGCATAAACTTGGAGAGAGCGGGATTCATCGCGACTCAGTGGTATGCTTGGGGTATTAGTAGTAGCAGCGGGGATGTTGCTGGCCAGGGGCTGGCTTGCTCGCATTTGCTTGGGAGCTCCATACTGTGGCTGAATTTTACCCTTCTAGTATGGCTAAAGACATACGTCAACCGTTGATTGACTCTATAATTCATCCCGACGTCCGATGCTGCCCCGCCATGCTTGCCCCGCCGGTGTAGCTTCGGTCCGGGGGCTGCGAGATGGCTTCTGATACGCGCTCGACACGCTTCAGCCTCACGCGAAATTTTCGCAGCAGGAGTTGCCCAGACAAGCCAACGTGTTCGTGGGGTGTTGTCGGGGAAGGTGGCACCGAGCATCACGTGCCTGGAGGGGCTGAGCCTAGCCCCAGTATGTTGCCAGTTGGGTCGTCATCATGCAGCACGTCTTCTGATCATCGGTGGCCCAGCCGAGTGTTCGCGACGAAGAGAGGGTCCATCGGCTGTTGGGGCGGCGACAATTACTGTATGCAGACGGAGCGGGCAGAATTGCACCCTCTGACCCCATGCGGACGCGCACGATGCACTCCCGTCAAACGGCGGCAGATCTAACGCAAGCATCCAACCACCACGGGCGGAATGCACACCAGGACCCTTAGTCGCGTTTCCAGAACCCCAGATCTCCTCTGGCTCCTCAACGGTAGATGAGCGTAACGGCGAGAATTGCCTGACATTGCAGTTTTACTCCGGTACGATTGGCTCGACCCTATCTGCTGGCAGACTGGTGCGGAGTGACCTCGACGAGTGGATCTCAAAGATGGAGACGATGAGAAATCTTACTCCAGAATTTCAGGCTCGGCAGGCTGGGGTTACTTCGGACGTAATGATGTCTGCTGGTTCTGGCAATACAACGCTTCGTTGTGTGGTAGCGGGCAAAGGATAAGTACTGCTCTCATCTTGTCGCATTCTCTACACATCAACCAACTAACTTCCCATCTTCATCACCTCTTCAACAACCATTCCATAGCGTACCGCATTTCTGCACTTTGCATACTTTTAAGATACCCCTCTTTTTGGCCCATTACATTTCGCATCATGGCACCAGGCGCAATCTTCGAGACGCCCAATGTGGCTGAGAACTTCAACGACCACCGCGATGGTCTTGCCCTAGAAGCCACTTCCGACGCCATTGACGATGTTAACGTCCTCAAGGCCGCCATGAAGGTCAAGAACGGCACCGCAACACAGAAAGAGAAGGACATCTACGAGAAATCCGAATTCGATGCTGAGAAGGACAAGACCCAGTTCCGCCAGTACGAAGAAGCATGCGACCGCGTGAAGAACTTCTACCGCGAGCAGCACGAGAAGCAAACCGTCGGCTACAATCTTAAGGCGCGCAACGCCTTCCACGCCAAGACACGCGCAGAGATGACCATCTGGGAAGCAATGGAGAAGCTCAACACACTCATCGACGAATCCGACCCAGACACCTCCCTCTCGCAAATTGAGCATCTCCTCCAATCTGCCGAAGCCATTCGCCGCGATGGAAAGCCGCGTTGGTTCCAGCTCGTAGGTCTTATTCACGACCTCGGCAAGCTCCTTTTCTTCTACGACGCCCAGGGCCAATGGGACGTAGTTGGCGACACATTCCCTGTCGGCTGCGCCTACTCCCCCAAGATCATCTACTCCGACACTTTCAAGAACAACCCAGACTACAAGGATGAGATCTACAGCACCGAGCACGGTATCTACACACCTGGCTGTGGCATGGACAATGTCATGTTGAGCTGGGGCCACGACGAGTACCTCTACCACATCATGAAGGACCAGAGCACCATCCCTGACGAGGGTCTTGCTATGATTAGGTACCACTCATTCTACCCGTGGCACACTGGTGGTGCGTACAAGTGGATGATGAACGAGAAGGATGAGCGCATGCTGGAGGCCGTCAAGGCGTTCAACCCTTACGATCTCTACAGCAAGAGCGACGAGGTTCCTAAGGTTGAGGATCTCAAGGAGTACTACTTGGACATCATTGATGAATTCATTGGCAAGGACAAGAAGCTTAAGTGGTAGACGATAGTAGTATATCATGGTAACGAATCTCTTTGATCTGGGCGTTTGGGTTATATAATGACGCGGAGTGCCAACAAGGCCCGCGATGCAATTCATTCTTGACCTCATCTATTCATCCCAACCTCTTGCTGTGCTTTGCGAACTGTATTTTGTAATGTTGCTGGAGGTGCTGTTACACAGGCTGCGTACTCTGCATCATCGTTATGAACACCCCTCGTTACACATGGCCATCTCCACTCCGATGAAACCTCGCTCTTCATCCCCTAAAACTTCATCAACCCAGTTCCGAGGAGGGTCTCAAGACATCCTCCCCACACACAGATGGGGCAAGCATCGCCATCGTTATGCGAGTGACAAACCACATGATTACACGGCTCACTAACCTGCTCCGCCTCCTTCAGCATATACTCATATCTTTTTGCTTCCAGTTCCTAGATTCCGTGATATGATTCACAGTAACAATATTCACGCAATCTTGGCAGGAGATACCGAACACATTCCTATGTATACACGCCGGATGCTTGTCGGTAAATGCGCGATGAGTGAGAAGCTTGCGCTTGACGGAAGACATTTTTCGACATTTTTGTGGATGACATAACTGATCATGAATGGTATTAATTTTCCTTGAACCCGTAGCTTTACTGCACTGATTGTTCAAGTAAAGATCCTGCCTGGACCGCTCATTTACAGCGTTACCAGCAGGCCATTTGATAATAGACAAATTCATCTTCTTCCAAAAATAGCATAGCCTGATGCTCTCACTTGCTCCCTTTTCCTTCTCTGGTGATCGTACGCTATTGTGGCAAATGGCTCTTACAACTTCGATGTCTTCTCTTCTCTTTCCTTCAGATTTGGATGTGCCACCCTAACTGGCCTCGTGACAGCATAGAAGGCCATACCGCTGGACTTGGTAGAAAACTGAACCTTGGATCCTACGTGAAAGAACGCGAAGTCGCCAGCGACAAGGTGATGTGTGATCCCGGTTGCTTCATCCAAGACATCGATTTGACCGCTTAGAACATACTTGGTCTCTTCAAAGTTGTAAGATGCGGGTTTGGAGGGCCCAGCTTCGATCTTATAGAACCCAGATGTCAGATGTGCGGGTGAGTCGGTGGTTTGTGTGCGGATGCTGCTCAGAGGTTAGATCGTTGAGGAGAACTTATGAGATGGTGTGGAGAAACGTACGTGTGGAAATCTGCTATGGTGGCGTTGTCGCCTTGTGGAAGTGGGATAAACTCATGACCTGCACCCTTGATGACGGTAAGAGGTACTAGATTTCCAGACACTATACAAGTGAAGCACATTAGCGATGTGACGATGCGAAAGAAGGGTCTAGTGGATGAGGGGCTGAACTTACTTTTCGGTATGATTTAGTGTGCGTAAAGTGGAAGCGACTCGATGTCCAGTGCTGCAGAAACATACGAAGCTCATTATAAGAGATCATGATGATTGTGTTCGTGGCTCATCCCCACAACGTATGAATGCGATAGTTGCCCTAATTCGGTAAGCCGTGCCTGACTGCCCAGATCGGGTAAGCCCCACACCCGCACTTGCTACAAACTACGTAATGAAGAAACCAACTAAAGCTAAAGGACGATGAACGAAAAGCGGTTACGAACGGTGCTAGCCAGATCATATCTCTAGTGGACTACCTCCAACTGCTGCCGCGTACTTACCTATCCATGAGAATGACCCCAAAGAGCTATTGCGATTATCTCACTCATAGAGTACAGCTTTAACGAGTAACATGAGAAAACCGCCAACAATCCTGTTGAGAAATCTCGATTGGAATATCAGTTGCTTGTAACACTGTACAGGTACAAGTTCACCAAGGTCACGTGTATGACAGATGCTCTATGTCGATCTCCTCTTTGCAATGTGTAAATCGTAGCTTGTTTCTCGGGTCGAGAACTGTCAAATCTGCAACCAAATACAATGTTATTAGGCTCGCTCCAGGCGCCAATTCACAGTCATAATTTAGCAATAGATGATAAAGAGCAATCTCAAGCACATGGGCTGTGAAGAAGCGTCCAAGACACGCCTGTGTTCCATGGCCAGATGTGAGATTCTCTGGACCAGTAGAGACGAGATAGGCTTTCTTGGAGGTATCATCTACAGAACCTTGTCGCACTCGAAAGTAATGTCAGTAGTTAAAACGCTTTGGGCCGGTATACACTTCTGGATCTAGCATATTACCGCCGTCAACAGCGACATGCTGGCCAAAGGGTGCTGCTTGCCCATCTGCCGCACGACTCTCTTGCAACAGCTACATCTCACCAACTCACAGCCAACCAAACACACAAATCCGAGGAAAGAAACTCATTGGTTATCTACCTAATACCAAACTGAAGCCTCAAAGGGAAAAAAACTTCAGAAGAAATAACCCAGTCATCCTCAACCCGATACGAGCAGTCTCGCATCAGCAAAAAGACTTGGGCCTGCACTCCCAGCCTTTCCATGTGCTCGACCGACTCGCATCAGATCATCGTCATCTCGTAAACTCATAAACACTAAACTCCTCCAATCCTCCAATTTTGCTCATACTCGTACAATCACTCTCATCCCCATCCCCACCTTAGGGTATATCCTGTGCATAACCTCCCTGCGCCTGGCAATGCAAAGAGAGTTCGTAATATGTAATATCGAAAAGTTGCTATCGTGAGTAAGGGAAAAACCCGTCGTACTAGCAAAAGTCCGTGAAAGCGAGCCAGTGAGGTGCTTCTAGGCGAATCCAAAGTACTCGCCACCAGCCGTCATAGCGGTGTACAAGGCTTTACGCAGATCCTCATAAGTTTCATACTCGGGGAGGTCAAGTTCTGTTCCATCATTAGCTTCTGCTTCCAAAAAAAACATTAAATCGCTGCTGGGGGATGAAACTTACGGTTAAAGCAAGTATGACTACTCGGCAAACGATCCTTGCTCCCATAATCGCGATGAATGTTGAATTTGCTGAACCCGTTCATGCCCTCGAGTTCCTTGAAACCATTCAGTGGCACCTTGCTAGTACCAGTAACGAATTGCAGCAGCTTGGCCTGCTCTTCCTTCTCGAACGTTCGGACAGCGCGCCAGAACCATTGAATCTGTGGTGAGGCGGCCGTGTAGTTGTGGTACTCGGTGTTGTTCTTCCAGTCGTCCACGTTGATGTCAGGAAGACCGGAGATGAGAAGTTCGAGTTCTTGTTCGCTGAAGATGGAGACGAGTTCAGCGGGGACGATGTCGTGGAAGCCCTTGAGGAAATTCTCAAGTTGCTCTTGGACGGCACCGACAAGACGGTGCTCAGTGATGAGGCGAACGTACTCGTGCTTGTTGTCTTCGGTGACCGGAATGTTACGACCGTTCTCAATGAGGTCGACAGTCTGCATCTCACCGAAGGCCTCGACTTCCACTGAGAAGGTTTCCGTGATAATGTCCGTGATTTCGTTATGAATCATCCATTCCAGGGACTTGTAGTACTCCAGATCAAGTGTCTCCATGTCCTTGAGGCTAACCTGCTTGCCCATGATTTGCTTGTAGACCGCTCGGCTGAAATGGCAGTCCAGAACGCGACCTTCGTAGAGCGCTTTACCGATGATGCGACCAATGAACTTGAAGAACATCAGATGCTCAGGGTTGATAGAACTGAGGCGGTTGGGGTGGAATGTCGTGCGATCGGAAGCAACAGGTACGAAGAGAGCGTAGTCGGCGTTGAACATCTGGCGTGAGATGGACTGGAACCATTCGCGAGTAACACCACCAGCGTCAACACCTTCTTCGCCGTGGAAGCGGATGCTGAGCTTGCCAAACTTCATCTCGTCGGCTGACTTGAAGTACAGCGACTTGAAAGAGTCCAAGAAGACTTGGTCTCGGCGGACAGAAAGCTGCAGAGGCGGATGTGCTTGTCGGTCGCCGCCTCGGGAGTGGAGTTTTCGGTTGAAGTAGTTACGCTTGTTGTCGAACTCCAGTACCTTGGAATTCTTGACGAGAAGAGAGAATGTGCCACTCATCAACTTAGGATTCTGGCGAACAAGATCGTTGAGAATCTTCCTATGCTCTTCAGTGAAGTTGAAGAACAGATTCTCCATCCTGCTTTCAGGCGGTGGGCTAGATAAGGCGAATTCCTTGGGCATCATCTTAGACAAGGGCATCTCCTTGAGAGTAGTGTTCTTGCACACAACCATGAGACTCTCAATCAGCGGAAGGAGTGTGGTAGCGATATTGAGCATGTTGCCACGCTGGCGGATGACCGTCAGACACTCACTAAGCTTCTCCCATAGGGGCGCGAAAGCTCGATCCTCATACAAGGTCAAGAGGATATCTTCCTTTTGAGCGGGCTCGAGTGCCTCTGCAGCAGATTCAGGCTTGTCCCTGCTGTCACGTGATGGATCAAAGAGATAGTCAAGTGCCGTCAGGGCCCGGAGCAGTTTAGTTTGGTCGGAGCTTGCTGGGGAGAATTTGGCAAGTGCGATGCCTTGGACATCAGTAGGCGAGCTTGCCTTTGAGACTTGAACCGTCAAGCTGGTAAGGTCATGGAGTGTTGAGCTGGCCAGATCCTTAGCAATCCCCAGCAATTCTTGGCCAAAGACCTCCTTCGCACCAGGTATGGGCGAAAGATTGCTGATGACGTTGAGAGTCTCCTGGAATACTTTACTATTGCATTCCCGAGCAGCCAGAATCTTGGCGACAAGTCGAAGGTTGACTTCAGGCACATCGGGCGGTGTGAGAGTGCGGTGTTTCTTCGTCTTGTCGTCTTCGGCCTTTGACTCGTCAGGCTTGGAAATGCTACCTTCGCCCTCAGCAGTAGCGGTTTCAGACTGAGCAGCGTTTTCAGAAGCGGTCATCATCTCCGTATCTTGGCCTTCAGGACGAGCCTCTATGGCTGCAGTATCGGCAGGCTGGTTCTCGGTGGCCTGGCCATCCGCAGATGTCTCGGCCTCCTTCTTCGCCTCTTCAGCAGCCTTCTCCTTCTCCTTCTTGAGAACCTGCAGCGGTGCGGTGATGACCTTCAGCAGTGTCGTCAATTGCTCCATGATGGTGGAACTCTCAACGATGAGCTTGCGGTCGAGCAAGGTAAGTAAAGCGTTGACCGGATACCTATTCGCCTTGGTCTCTTTAGCCTTGCCCTTGCGATTGGCGCGGTTCTTGAATCCAACGCCCGTCTCATGTTCGGTCAGGAAGAATTGCCAGACAGCGGGGTTCTTCTCTGTCAGCTGGGTAAGCGTGTTAAGACATTGCTGAACAACCATAAGTGGAGAGACGTCAGCGTTGATTGATAAAGCGCCGTTTTTGCGGGAGATCTTCGGGGTCTTGTCCGCTGGTTGCTGAGGCTGCTTGGCTCGAATTGACAGTTGCGCGAAGCTCTTCTCGACAGCATTTACGTCAGCACTTCCATCTTGAAGAATGCTGAGCAGGATGCTGATGACCTCTGCACGATTTTGGCGATTCTCACAGACGTAGCGCAAGATGGAGCTCAGGCTACCCTTTGCGCTTCCCTGCTGTGGGATGAACATGAGTCTAAGAAGTGTCGCGACACCGGCTTTGTCAAGCATTTGTACACAAGGACGAGTCTTCTTCTTCTGCGACGGATCATCAGGCTGGGCACGGCGATCACCTCGTCTATAGCCGAAGTCGTTGAACTGATGTAACCGACGATCACCTCCCATCGCTCGAGCTTCTGCAGATAATTCTGGTGGTAGCTGGCGCAAGATGTCTTCGTCCGTATCCATGAGCACAGCAGCTCGTAGATTAGGGTCCAGTGACGCGAAGAAGCTTGCAGGATCCATCTCTTCTGCTTGTGGAGGAGGGGCACCAGCGTTGGCTTGGTTGCGACGGCGATTCTCTTCGCGCTCTCGGCGTCGACGCTCTTGTGCTTCTTGCGCAAGCAGCTCGGCTCGAATATCTGCAGGAAGTGCTGCTAGGAAGTCCTCGTTGATATCTGTAGGAACTTCACCTGCTGCTCCTGCCTCTTCGGGTGCAGCAGGAGCTTGTGCTTGTGCCGGGGCTTGCGACTGCTGCTGCGCTTGTTCTTGTCGTCGTGCTGCAGCCCGTTGTTCTGCTCTACGCTCAGCCACCTGCTGCATCAAGACTTCTTCACGTAGATCTTCAGGAAGAGCGTCCAGATACTCGGTGTCGATACCCAGATCCGTAATGTCGTACTCATGACCTCGAATCATGGTCGTGATACGTTGTGGAGGTGGCCCAGCAGGTTCTGCAGGGGTCGACTCAGCAGTGGCGAGTTGTGTCGAGGATTCTCCAGCCTCAACGCCCTCCATCGCTTGCGCTTCCGGTGCAGTCTCAGGCTCCGCCTTGGATTCGTCCTCTGCAGGTTGCTCTGGAGCTCGGCTCGCGGCTTCAGCGGCTTCGCGTTCCTGTCGCTCGCGATCCTCCTTTTCTTGTGCCTCACGTCTCTCGCGTTCTTCACGCTCCTGCTTCTCCTTCTCCTCTTGCTCTTCCTTAAGCTTGCGGGCGACTTCTGCCTGGCGCTCTTCTAGACGCTTCTTCGCTGCCTCCATGGCGGGTGGAACCATGACTTTTAGGATGGAGTTGATGACCCGGTTGCTCTTCTCGATTGCCGCAGGGCCGTAGAGAATTCTAGCTTCTTCCTGCCAGCGCTGGCTGGTGTATACCTTGGCGAAAGCTACCGCAGAGTGTGGGTCTTCGCGAGCAGTGCGCGATGTGTAGTTCTCTCGCATGCGAGCAATATCACGGCGCATACCACTATCAAAAGGTGGCATACCCATGGAGTTGCTGAAAGAAAGATGCAGCGCGCCACCATGCTGGTGTAATGTCGGACCGCCAGCGCCGGAGCTCATCGCGTTCAACAAGTTGCTGATGAATGAGACAGGGCTGTCATTTTGACTAAAGACACGAGGACCGCGACCTTCGATAGCGTGAACCCAGTCGCTGTTGCCTTCGTTGCGTGGTAGGCCATCTCGTCCAGCGGAGCGACCGCCTCGCTGAAGCAGAGGGTTAATACCATCGTCAGTGACGCGGGGACCAGCACCTGGGCGATGTGAGCGGTAAGCTGGTACAAGGATGCGATCGCCTGGACCTGCTGGGAACATCCATGGACTGAGGCGGTGGGTATGTCGAACAGTAGGGGGTTGAGGGTCTTCCCAGCCACCACCCCATGCAATTTCCGGCATGGCGTCGTCGTCGTCCTCC